CAACACACACAACACACACAAAATTGTAGGTATCCCCTCTTTGGGTGTGAGCATCCACACAGCAACCGTGGGTGCTAGCGTGCGAGTTTTCCCCATACAGAAGCATGCAGACGTCATCAAGGTACCAACAGCCGTCGACCGCTATACCGGGCCGTTTGTCTGCGTTAATGATCACTGCGCGCTGCGACTTTAAGCTTGCACGTCTGCCCACCTAACTCTGACTCTCTTGCGCTCTTTTTTCCGTTCTGAAATGCGTCATACCTCATACCACTGCTTCACACCTCATCCTTCTGCTGCACACCAACCCCTTCTATCCTTCCTTAACATTGCGCAGACATGCCAGGAGAAGAGTGTGGAGGTGCACGTGTATGACCGCCTGCATCTCGCCCACCAGCTTGCGAGCGCTCTGGAGCACTTGCACGCGCGCAGATGCGTCCACACGGACGTGCAGGCCTCAAACTGTCTTCTCACGTACGGTGGGCGGCTCAAGCTCTCTGGCTTTGTCAACGCACACAGGTTGGGAATGGAGGACATGTGTGTGGTTTTGTGTGGATGTGTGTGTGTGTGGTTGTGTGTATATGTGTGTTTGTGTGTTCGCTTGTTTGTTTATGCATGCTTGACCTCCGTCCTTGTTGTTGTCCTTGTGCGCACCAGGCATTCCTGTACTTTCTTCGTTAGATACGCCGCCGACAGCAACACACACACACACACACACTTTTCTCACACACACACACACACACACACACACACACACACACACCAACGCACCGTGCACGAGTAGCAGAAGCAGCAGGTGATGAGGCTGATGAGGAAGCTGAGCCACACGATAATCATGGCCACAATCATGAGACCAGCGGCAACACGCAGACCCTCACTGGGAATGTCCTGCAGAGAAACACCTGCGTGTGTGTGGTAGCGAATGCATGATGGAGGTGAGCGCGTGCCACAGACACGAAGGGATCATGCATGAAAAGACACGTGGGGGGGGGGGTTGCATGGCTTTGCGTGTCTGTGTGACAGCGTGCATGCTTACCGTAAACTTCGATGTTGCACCGAAGATCCTTCTGGTCTTGGCATTCTGTTTGACGAAGAGCACACATGCGTGTCGGGTGGAGGAGGGACGGAGGGCGAACAAGGGCATCGGTGAGATTGTTGTGCGTGGTAGCAAGGGCGGAAGGCAATGCGACGCGCAACCATGAATCCACACAGTCACAGACACAGGCACAGATAGACACACATGCACACACACACATGCACACACACACACCTGAAAATACGCCACAGGCGTAGGCTGTTGTGTCCCCTGAAGGGATCGGGGCCAGAAGCCAGAAGGGGGCCGCCGCAGCGACAATCAGGAAGATGCCCGACAGCAGCAAGAAGAAGCTGTACAGGCTGTTGTTGTTGTTGTTGTTGTTGTTGTTGTTTGTGGGCAAACAAACAGGAACAGGCATCGGTGAGCATCGTGGCCAACGCCATAGGTCTCACAACTCCAAAGCAAACACACGCCCCCCCCGCCCCCCCGCCTTCGACACGTTGTCACTCACATGTGGATCAGCAGGTGAGAGCCCTTCTTCGCCATGATGCTGGTTTACAACAAAGGATCGCTCGCTTGGCGAGAGAGAGAGTGTGTGTGTGTGTGGGTGAGAGAGAGGTGGTCGGTGACGACGGCTGCGGGTGTTGTGTGGATATGGGGAGGAGTGCTTTGTTCGTGTGTGTGTGTGTTTGGCAGGAAAAAAAAAGTGGGTGGGTGGGGTGCACCATCGAATATTCATTGAAGATTTTAACAAAATGTCGTTGGTTGCAGTTGTCGTGCTGTTTCATTGTGTGTGCACCTGCCAGGGTGCTGTGGTGGAACAAGACGTGGTGGTGTGTGTGGATAAGGGAACAACAAGCAATGGTGGCTGTACAAAAGGAGAAAGAGATGTAGGAGAGTAATGAAACAGAGGAACGTGTGAAGGGAAAAACACAAAAGAAAAGCGAGATCTTAGGACAAAGTGCTTCTCTTCTTTGTGAACAGTGTGTGTGTGTGTGAGGTGTGTGTGGTGTGAGCGAGTGAGCAGGGGAAGAAGAACAAGCAGCAATACACATGCAAACAGAGCAAACAGAGCGCCGACGCTGCTTGCTTGTTGTGTCTTCCCAGCATCCAACGGGTCCATTTCAGACTTGCTCGTGCGCAGGCTCCAGCGCGAGGGAGTCGCCCTGCTGCTGCTGCTGCTGTTGACTGGCCGTGTCGCTCGTGTTCAAGGGCTCAGTGGTTGTCGTTGTCGCGGGCTCTGGTTGTGATGATGGCTGTTGTGTCTGCTGCTGTTGTTGTGGCTGCTGTTGTGGCAGGTTGGGGGATTCCTGCTGCTCCTGGCCCTTTGCTGCCTTGTGCTTGCGGGGGCGGGACAAGACGGCGTCAGGGTCGGGGTGGAAGTGCTGGTAGCACATGTACAGCGACGTGAAAAAGGCCACCCACGTCGAGAAGTAGCCTGCACACACAAAACAAAATAGCCCGTGGTAGGTTGGGATGAGTGTGGAGGGAGGGATGAGTTGGTGATGGGTTGCGAGCAAGCAGGCGCATAGAGCACACACACACACACACACACACACACACACACACACACACACACACACACGAACCGTTTGCCGTGCCGCGGGCTGCGCCGCAGCTGGAGTTGAACGGCCCCTCTGCGCTGGTGTTGACGCCCGCACCGGCCGCCCACCAGGCCACGAGGAACACGGAGATGGCCTTGCCAGCAGCCTGTATGGGGTGGTGAGAAGAAAAGGGGAGGGACAGTGAAGTGAGACGGGGGTTGAAGCACGAGGTGGTGGTGGTGGTGGAGGGGGACATGACACGATGAGGTGTGCAAGAAGGGTTATGGTTGCTAGACAGACAGCCTGATGCAATTTCACGTGTCTATTCTACAGTGCATAACGTACGTGCGCTGAGTCTGGGGCGAAGCGGAGGATGCACATCTGCGGGCGAGAACGAGCAGTGCGGTGCGAGTTGGTTGGACGGGAGAGAGGGGACGGACGAAGAATGGAGAAACGGGAGGGGGAGGGGAAGAGTGAGACGATGCATGATACGCACACACACACACACACACACACACACACACACACACACACACACACACACACACACACACACTCCTGCCAATAACTGACGTGGCCGATGCAGACGACGGCGGCGATTGCGCCGACAGCGACAGCGAAACCGTTGCGCTCCGAGCAGTCGTTGACACTGTCGCACACATCCGCAGCAACAGCCTGGCAGTGGGGAGGAAAGGGAGAGGGTGTGAGGATAGGTGTGAGGATGTTGTTTGGTGGATGTTGTTTGGTGGGCTTATGTGTGTGTGTGTGGTTGGGGGGGGGGAAGGATATTATCAAGTAACATGCAGTGCACACACACACACACACACACACACACACACACACACACACGAGGACACGAAGACTGTTATAAGAGAGCTATGCTCACCGTAGGCGAGTGTCTCCGAACGAGTAACACCATAGAGTGCGCGCTCAAAGTGGTCCAGTTGCCGCTCAAATCCAATAGACTTAATGCAAGGTTCCCGAAGGGAGTCGTGAATACGGGTCAGACCGAATCGCAGGTATGGGTGACTGACACGACACGTCCATGACTACAGACGGCACGTGTTCTGCTAGCGTCGTGCACACACACACACACACACACACACACACACACACACACACAGGCACAGGCACAGACAGCCAGACCAGAACAAGACCACACGCCACGCACCATTTTAACGAAGGAGGTGAAAGAAGACGAGGAAAGATGGCGCCATTGACGAACGGCGGACGGTTGCTGCGCAGAGACCCAAAGGCCTCGGGGCAGAGCCATGGACGCATACACAATCGCAGCAAGAAAGGCAATCCTGTCATGCACACACAAGTGCGCGCGCGTGTGTGTGTGTGTTGCAGGGAACGTGGCACATAATCGCATGTCAGTGGACGAAGGGATGGATGCAGGGGCGTAACTCGGAAGCGAGGGACAGCCACAGACACACACACACACACACACACACATATACGTGTGCGATGCACCATCGCCTCAATCATACCCTGTGATTCAGCACACGAGCACGGAGCAAATACATGTTGCGTGTGAGGTGAAGGTCACATCACGTCATACAGGCGGACACAAGAGCACGTGCATTCGTGCATGCATGTACGCACGCAGGTGGCATCTCGCCGGCAACAAGAGGGCAGTACGGGAGCAGACGAAGAAAGCAAAGAGACTCACAGGTTGAGAAGAAGCCGTTGCCAGAGATGGGGAAGGGGCCGTCAGCGCGCGTGGTGAAGGCGGCACCAAATGCCCACAAGATGACCAGCAGCAGCGCCACGCCAACGTCAAGCTGCAGACACAGACCAAGAATGTCATGTCATCGCAAGTGGCATGAGAGTCAGGAAGTAGCAACACGGAAGGGCCACACACACACACACACACACATACAGAGACACAAACGATCACACATACGGAGAGACACACGCACACACACACACACAGACCATCACACATACAGACACGCGCAGCCACACACACACACACACACACACACACACACACACACACGCAGCCACACACACACAGGCAACTAGTGACCAAATGTATCTGCATGCATGCATGCACGGACTGGACCTTCTTGTCAATGTGCATTTGGTTAAAGATGAGGCCTAGGCGGATGAAGCAGATGAATGAAGAAATGACGCCAACGGCAATGGCCCAGCCGTTCTCGGCGTCGTCGCAGGAATTAGTGGTGTCGCAACTGTGCACCGTCAGCGTCAGAGCGAGGGCGAGCGAGCAAGGGAAGCAAAGGGAAGAAGAGACAGGGGTGAGAGGGTGGAACAGGGAGAGAGCTCATGCAGAGAACACGGAGAGCACGGAGAGAGCACAGCGAACACACAGGTTGTTGCCACTTACAAGTCGGCTGCGGTGGCAAACTCGATGATGGAGGCTGCAAAGCAGACAAACAGGCTTCCGCCCACACGCCGGCGCACGGCGGGCTTGTCGTCGAGATGATCCTCTTCTGGCTTCATGGTGGCTGTTGAGGGAGCACTTGTGCTTGTGCTTGTGCTTGTGCTTGTGCTTGTGCTTGTGCTTGTGCTTGCGCTTGGTTGGATGAATGTACGCTTATATCTTGAATGAATGTACGCTTATATCTGGGGGGTGCTGATGATGTTGGGTGGCAGCTGCAGCAGCAACTTGGCTTTGCTTCGTTCTCGGGCACGGCAGGTGAGGTTGGTCAAGAAAATGAATGCCAGCGCCTGCGTCGACTGCACCACTTCCTCTTCTCCCTTTCTTCTTGCGCCACTGTGATGGTGACATTGCTTGATGATCATCCTCCTCAGCCATTGTCAAAGCAATCCACAGCGTGATGTGTGGTGTGTTGACTCAATGCAAGCCGCCCCAAAAGCAAGGAAAGAAGCGTGGGGTGGCGAACAAACAAAAGAAAGAACAAACGAACGAACGAACGAAAGAATGGACGGACGGCCTGTCGCAGCAAGAAACACGCCTCAAGCAAGCGAGGCTGAGATGTTGATGATGAGGGGTGGTGGGGTGATGTGCTCATGCTTGCATCGCCAACCAACCACAGCAACAACAGTTTGTCATGTTGCGTGATGTATGTAGAAAATTGTGCTAAATTATCCGTTGTTTTTCTCAGCAGCGATGTGTCACCCGCCTTGATTGCACTGCTGGTGGCGGATGAAGCAATCGCAACCACACCACACTGGTGTTCTGCGGCCTGCAGTGTGTGTGTGTGTGCGTGTGTGTGTGTGTGGCTCTGTGCGTGTGTGTGTGTGTGCAAAACCTCTGATTCCCTTCCCTGCTTCACCTCGACTTGGTTGGTTGGAGGTTTTGTACTATGGTGGAAAGACAAGGACACAAGACAAATGGAACAACAACACCGTTGCCACTCCCTATCCATGTGAAAGGGGTGCAAGCGAAGCAGAGCGAGAAGAGCAAGGGAACGAACAAAACACCTTATGCGTAGGAAAGACAACCAAGCGGACGTAGGAAACCAAAAAAAAAAAACTTCACACAACATCAACAGGCTGTATGCTTGCTTGCTCGCTCGCTTGCGGGAGGGCGAAAAAAACCACCGACACACAACACACATCAAAACCACATCAAACATGCAAACACAAGACAATGACATACACAAACAGAACAGAAGAAGGAATGGATGGAGGCGGTGCAGGCATGCAAGTGCGACAAGCATACACGCACACACGCGCACACACGCGCACAGCATGCACACACGCACACATGCAAATGATCAGAGCCGGTCGAGGAGCTCGCTGGCGGCGGGCGGGTGCGGTTTGGTCATGCGCTTGCGGGCGCGCACGGCGGCGACGGCCTGGCCAGCTGGCGTGGCCGGGTCGAGCGGGTCGCCCTCCACCATGGCCCAGTGGCCAAACGTGGTGGTGGGGAACGCCTTGCCAGACGTGGCGCGCATGAGGTTGCTGTTGAAGCCAAAGGAGCGGGCAACAGGCAGGTGCGCGCGCACCGTGTGCAGCGGGGTGCCGGCCACAACCGTCTCACCAACAACAGCGCCACCGCGGTCCTTGAGCACGCGGCGAACACCGCCCATGCCCTCCTGCGGGACTGTGTTGAGGGCGACAACACGTGGGGGTGGGGAAGAGGAAGCAGACGGTGAGCGTGGTGTGATGACTTGTGTGTATTTGGGGCGATGATATGGTCAATGAAACACACAATACAAGGAACAAAAGCTGGTGTGTGTTTCTGCTGCATTGGAAAGTACGCGCGCCCACAAAGATGCACACAAACACACTTGCACAAAGATACATCCACTTTCACTTGCGCACACTTTGACACACACACACACATACGCAATGCACAATACACACATACACATACACACACGTACACGCAACACAAAAACACACACATATACACACACCTTGGATGGTGACAGCAAAGATGGGCTGGAGGAGGCGCGGGTGCGCGGTGAGGACGGCACCATGGAAGGCGCGCCGGGCCATGGGCAGAATCTGGTCCACCCGGCGGTGCACAGAGTCCTGGTGCAGCCGTGCATCCGTGATGGAGAACACCACGCCACGAAGCTCCTCGTGGCACAGCACGCTGCCAGCGCACACGTCCTTGAAGGCGGTGACCACCATGTCCAGGATCGGGTTGAGGTCCATACCAACCGTCTCGTCAACCAGCACGTTGCTGCCGCACATGGCCACCACCTTCTTGGCAAGTGCGCGGTCCGCGCCTGCGGCAACGAGCGCCGCCGTGCGGGAGGCCGTGTCCATCTGCATGCTCACGCTGCCGTCGTCCAGCGCAGCTACGAGGTCGTCGCTGGCAGGGCGCGCCTTCACGTACAGCCGGTTGTGCTTGTTGCTGCTCTTGGCCAAGCACACCTGCGTGCTCTCCTGCGCCACGCCCTCGCAGTACTGCACGGCCGGCTCCGTGGCCACCACGCTGCAGCCAACCGCCTCGGACAGCGCGTCCAGGCACAGCTGCACGTGCAGCTCGCCCACCCCGGCCAGGATCTTCTCGCCGGTGGCGCTGTCCGTGTAGCACAGCACGCACGGGTCCTCCTGCTGCAGCGACTGCATCGCCTGCTGCAGCTTGGTGGCCAGGCTCTCCTTCTTCGGCCGCACAGACACGCGCACCACGGGCGACACGCTGAAGCGCAGCACCTTGAGCGGGTGGGCCGCCAGCGTGGAGGTGAGCGTGCCAGCCTTCACCACGGCGCCGTCAAGCCCGAGCACGCCAACAACCATGCCGGCCCTCCCCTCCTTGATCGGCTGCATGCGGCTCGCCATCACCAGGCGCAGGCCCTTGACAGACACGGGCACAGCGCCGCGCACACGCCCGCCGCTCTTGGCTGCACTGCTGCTGCTGCTGCTGCTGCTGTCGTCGTCGTCGTTGGTGCGTGGCGGCGTGTAGTCTGGGTCCAGGGCGTGCAGGGTGTCACCAACGCGGACTGTGCCGCAGAAGACGCGGCCAAAGCCAATCATGGCCTTGCTCTGCTTGGACACGCGCACCATCTTGGTGATGAAGACCACGGCCGGGCCGTGGGGATCGCAGTGCTGCATGGCCCTCACCACATTGCGCTCGCCTTTGCTCATCACGTCTTGTTCGTCTTCAGCCGCCTTATCGCCGTCATCGTCAACAACGCCCTGGTAGCTGTGTCATGATTTGTAGTTGAGGTGATGGTTGACAGCGTGTGAGTTGGGCAATGGTGGGAGAGCAAAAGGACAAAGGAACAGGAAAAAGGAACAAGGGAGCAAAGCAGACACACACACACACACACAAACACACACGACATACACGAGACACACACACACACACACACACTCAAAGTTCACACACGCGACACACATGCATACACACACATGCATACACACACACACGATACACACACTCAAACAAACAAACACGAGCAGGCGTACATGGCGTGGACGCGGGCGGGCTGTGCCTCAAGCGGCGATGGAAGGTGGTCGTCGATGAGGGCCAGCAGGGCGTCAGCAACAGGCAGCCAGGCCTTCATCATCAGCTTGCGCAGGGGCTTGAGCTCGCTCTCCCGCTTCTGCGTCTCCGTCATGGCGGCAGCGACGCCGAGCGTGCCTGCAAGCTTGAGCAGCGCTGCGCGGTCGCCGGACGACTCCGCGGCGTGCACGGCGTAGATGGGCTGCAGCACAACGGCGCAGAACGTGCGCTGGTGGGCGCTGCCGTCGGCGTTGAAGCCCTGGTCGCGCCGCCACTTGCCCGTGGACGGGTCGACAAAGTAGTCGCCCCACAGCCGCTTGGTCAGCTTCATCACCTCCTCCGAGGCGCGGTGCGGTGCCGGTGGCGCGGGCGTGCCTGCCTTGGTTGCCTTGGCCGCCTGCTTCTTCTGCACCAGGGCTGCGCCAATCTGGGGCAGGGTGAACCCCCAGCCGTACAGGCCGCTGCCAAAGCCGACGGTGCCCTTGCACGGGTCCACGGTGAAGTCAACGCCCTCGGGCTGGTATGTCTCAATGAGCTCGTTCACGCTGTCGATGGTCGCAGCGACCTTCATGTACGCGTCTACAACAACAAAAACAAATGGTTGGGCAAAAAAGGACAGCAAAGAGGGAAGCGACAAAGGTTATGTACATCCAACAAAACAGCATCAAAGCCACAAACACACATCTGCACACTTGTTCACACATGTCTCCACATTTGCACACTCGTTCACACACACACATGTGTACACTTGTTCACACACACATGTGTACACTTGCTTACACACCCACACCCACACCCACACCCACACCCACACACACACAATGCGCACACCTTCAGGGGTTGCCTGGAGCTCGGTGATGATGCGGTCGAGCTTGTTGAGGAAGAGGACCGGCTGCACGTGCTCGGCAAGGGCTTGGCGCACAACCGTCTCCGTCTGCACGCCAACGCCCTCCACGCAGTCCACAATGACAAGCGCGCCATCGCACACCCGCAGGGCCGTGGTCACCTCGCCCGAGAAGTCGGCGTGGCCCGGGCAGTCAATCAGGTTGACGCGCAGGAAGCCTTCCTCGTTGTTGCGGGGCGGCGGGGCAACGACGGCACCGTCACGGCAGCGGCCTGGGGCCACCCCGACGCGGGCAGCCCAGTCCGGGTAGTGCAGGCTGATGCCTGTGGACTTGATGGTGATGCCGCGCTCTTGCTCGGCGGCCTCCGTGTCCAGGGCGAGCGCCTTGCCCGCCTTGGCGTCGTTGAGGACACCGGCACGCGACAGCACAGAGTCCGCCAGCGTCGTCTTGCCGTGGTCCACGTGGGCGATGATGCACACGTTGCGCGTCACCGCAGTGACGCGGTCCTCCTCACACCGGAAGATCACATCTTGAACTTGTTGTTGTACTCGGTCGTCTCGGCGGTCCTTAGCCGCGAAAGGAACAGTTGCCCTCCATGTTCTCACGGAGGGCCGGTGAAGGCTTGAAGGGGGTGGGAAAAGCGGGGAGTCGGGTACACGACTCAGTCAGTCAGTCAGTGGCTTTGAGTACATTGATGAAAGGAAAGAAAGATCGCTGTGTCCTTGGGCCTTTGTAGCTTTGTTGATTGCTGAAGGAAGCGGTGAAAATGCGATCACACCCACAGTGAACTTTGCTTGTTGTGTGCTTTGTGTGGCGGCTTGCGTGGTGAGTTATGGAGGACTCTGTAATTGTCGTCGTGTAACAAGTGAAGCAAGCAGTGAGATGAGTCATGTCACATCTCATTCACAGGGAGCCAAAAATAGAAGGGGGCGTGACTGAGAAAAGAACTGATTTAAGACGAAGAACTGAATTCAGGCTGAGGAATGAACAATCTCGCTGCTGCTGGTGCTCTTGACCATCTCCGCGTTCTCATACAGCGGCTCCTCATCCAGCAGTTGTGGCTGCACGACGCCGCCAGTGGCCATCGCAGCGTCGCCAGCGTTCTTGTCGCCCGGTGAGGAAGGCGTTGCCGCCGTGGGGTTGAAGACGTCTTCAACGTAGTTGTAGGGGAAGAGGCCTCGTTGCTGTGTCGATTGCAGCGTCCCAACAAACCACCCTTCATCCTCAAACGGCTCCACTGCATGTGTGCGTATATGTAGGTGCGTGTGTGCGTGTATGCGTGTGAATGTGTGTGTGTGTGTGTGTGCGAGAACAAAACCAAAGACCAGACCGTTGAGATACAAGTGGAATCATGAACATGGCACGGAATGGCGGCCAGGCATGGGCACAGATACAAGCCAAAGTACGACCAGCCATGACCACGACTTGCGATACTTCTTTCCGACACACACACACACACACACACACACACACACCGTCGGTGATGAGGTCGCCACGTCGGAAAGTGAGTTCCTCCTCGTCCTCGGCGTCGCAGTTGTACAGCGCACGCACCGTCCACGTCTTCTGGGGTTTCGGCTGGGATACAGCAAGCACCGACAACACAAACAAAACAAAACAAAACAAATGTGACGATGCGCAACGATGCAGTGTATATGTGTGTGTGTGGGGGGGATTTGCAGCTGGGGACACGCGCATGTGTGTGTATGCGTGCGTGTGTGTGGTTTGCAGCTGTGGACACGCGCATGTGTGTGTGTGTGTGTGCATGAGATGCAGTTGCATTTGACACGAACATGGTGCACTTACGGGTACAGGTGGGCGGGCTGGTGGTTGCATGGCAGTCTTTGCAGCCGGTGGCAACTTGCCATACACGTGCGCGGCGGCATCTGACGCAAGCTTCATCTCTGGTGGCGGGGTTGTTGGCGGCCTGGGCGAGACCTCAGGTTTGCTGCTGCGGCGGCTGCCGGCATCAGCACCAGATACTGTCATCGAGCGATCTTCCGCTGAAACAAAGCCAACACGAGGAGGGAGATGATTGGGTTGTGAATGCACACGCACAGGGGTGTGTGTGTGCGTGCGTGTGTGTGCCTGTGCGCGCGCGCGCGCGTGTGTGTGTGTGTGTGTGTGTGTGTGAGTGCTGGAAACGCGGGGTTCATGGCAAGGTACGCACAGCGTCGAGGAGATGGGGACTGTAGTGGTGTTGGCCGTTTCTGAAGCGAGCAGATATGACAGAAGAAGCGGGGAAAAGGGGGGGGATGTTAGAGAGTGAGACAAAGTGGAAGTGATGTGATGCACACACATATCAAAAAAAAACATTTCAAACACAAAAACCTCACCGCACGCACACACACACACACGCACACACACACACACACACGCACGCACACGCACACACACACACACACACACACACACACACACACACACACACACACACACACACACACACACACACACACACACACACACACACACACACACACACACATCCCGCACCTCTGACGGCGTCGATGAAGGCTGGGTAGAGGCGGCGGGTGAGCAGCGGGTCGGGCAGCTGGCGAAGAAAGTACTTGAGACAGCTCGTGATCACCGTCACGTCCTCATCCGCCAAGTTTGGCAGCCTGTGCTTCTGCAACGCGTCCGTGTACATCTTGATGTACCGCGTCTTCGTGCCGGACACACGATACAGACCCTGCGCGCGCGTGGTGTGTATGTATGAGTGTGCATGAATATGCTTGAATGTGCATGAATGTGCATGAATGTGCATGAATGTGTATGTGAACAAACGTACACGCCTGTGGTGTGGCATGCATGCTAGATGGCAAGAGAATACATGAAGCCTTCTGTGAAACATACTACAGCGGACAGCAAAGTGTCGATTGGCAACACCGACCTCAAAGTCGAGGTACGAGCGTTCCACGTGGGACATCATCTTCAGCAGAAAGCCAACAGATTCCGGGGACAGCGTTTGCCTGACGGCAGCGGCAAGCACACGCAACGAGCACACGAAGAGTGAAAGGTCAGAATACGTGAATAGTTTGTAGGTGTTGCATTCTGAACGCGAGCGAAGGCAACGCAAGCAACACCACACACAAGCAAACAAACAAACAAACACACACACACACACACACAAACACACACACAAACACAAACACACGCAACACACACCATGTGTTTTCGTTTGCGTGCTTGCGGCCTTTCTTTCGGCGGACAGTCTTGACGGGTGCCAGCCCGCCCATGGCTGCAATCCATCCTTTCCTGTCGGCGTCACTCGATGCCTGCAGCGTCAACTTGGTGTCAGGTCCCGTAATCTCAAACACAAACTTGCGGTCAATGTCTGCGCTAAACTTCTGCACGCACGTGTCCACCTCAACCACAATGCAGTCCTGGACATTTGCGTGTGTTTGTTTGTTTGTTTGTTTGTTTGTTTGTTTGTTTGTTTGTTTGTTTGTTTGTTTGTTTGTTTGTTTGTTTGTTTGTTTGTTTGTTTGTTTGTTTGTTTGTTTGTTTGTTTGTTTGTTTGTTTGTTTGTTTGTTTGTTTGTTTGTTTGTTTGTTTGTTTGTGTGTGTGAGTGTGAGTGGTTGGCGGTGAAAAGAATGGAAGGTGAGGCTGCAATGGGGAACAAAACGGGCGAATGTTTAGAATCGCGAGGCACGTAGAGCGCCAATTGGTGTCAACAGACACACACACACACACACACACACACACACACACACACACACACACACACACACACACACACACACGCCAGCGTGCAACGGCAGGGAACCTTGTCGTCGGTGTGGCAGAAAAAGCGGTGTGCAGCTTTGTCGAAGATGCAGAAGCAGCGCGTCCACGCACTCCCGACTAACACAAAAACACACAGGCAGTGGAGGTGGTTGTTGGATTGGATGAGGGCAAAACAAAACATTTCATGGTGCACACAGATCGCCACACAGAGCTGAA